GCTTGTGGGTATCAGACATTCTTGTAAAAACCGCAGACCTAAAATTTGGTCCTGCACCATTAAGCCACAGCTCTGCCAAGCAACAACACAGAACACACGTTTTAAATCATTGTTGCAAGCCAAATGTAATTCCCACCAAAAACAATTAAATCTTTTACCAGAGGGCTGAGTCTGGGCAGCGTGCACCCTGAGAATCTGAATCTCATTTCAGTGTGAAAATGAGATGGTTGTTGTTCAGATCAAGAGGAAATGTCAGCTGCAAAACCCAGGGCAGCCAGTGATTGTAACGTGAAGGGATACTGGTTGAGGTTAGATTAAAAAAGGGTTAGCTAAGAAACCTGTCAGTTCTTTCTGATAGCTGCAGAGATCCTTTCACAATACTCATTTTTAATTATTAGAAACGTAATTCACGCTCACTCTACGGAAGTAGGAAAGTATGTAAGAATACAAAAAAATAAAATATAATTTCAATCTCAGATCACCCAGATATAAACTTTATAATATCTTATGGCATTTCCTTTTGGCCCTTTATACACACACACACACACACACACACACACACACACACACAGCTGCATCAGAAGGTATGTGTAAAATTGGGATCATTGTATGTTTTTAGAGTTTTTCTTTTGAATTTTAACTTAACACTTAAGTATATCCCGTCCCTTTATATATTCTTCAAGGATAGGATATTTAATGGTTATACAATATTTTATTAGTTTGGCTATACCCCAAATTATTGAATATGTGTTCACTCGCAGGCGTCTTCAAACTACGGCCCGCGGGCCACATGCGGCCCGCAGAGGAGTCTGATCCGGCCCGCCAGGTTTTTTGGGCAGTGAGCGCAGCCGAGGTGTTACAGTAGGAATTAGTAGTTCATATAGTCCGGCCCTCCAGCTCTCTGAGGGACCGTGATCTGGCCCCCACTTTAAAAAGTTTGAGGACCCCTGCATCTACAGGTTGCATTTACTAGTAGTATAAATAGTATTTTAGGCAAGGTGTTGCTCAGCTACAATTACTTTAGGATGGGATTTTAGAAGTGGAATTGTGGCGTCCAAGGGTAGGAACTCTTTGAGGCTTTTGATATGGATTGCCAGCTGTTTTCCAGAGAAGTTATTTACTTCCATCAGTTGTTTCTAGGATTGCCTGTCTCACCCATTATTAGCCAGCAGCAAGCAACACCTTCAATTCGGGATAGGCGTAGGTAGAGGAGAATGCAACACACTCTATGATTCATTATTTATAAGTGTCAGATTATTTACTAAACAACACCAGTATGTGTCCAGCATCGTTCTTGGCATCTAGAGTATAGTATTAAATAAAAGAACTCTAAATTCCTGTCCTCAATGAGCTTATAATCTACTAGCGAGAAAGAATAAGATAAATGAGTAAATCATGTTGGATGTTAGACTATAAGTATTATGAAGAAAAATAAAGCAAGAAAGGGAGATGAGCAGTGTGGGTAGGTAGGGAAAAGGAAGGGGAAGCATTGTACAGACACTATTGGGACTTTGTACATTTTCCACCTCTGAGGACATTTTCTAGTTACTTGTAAGAGGTTCATTAAAAATAAGCTAGAAAGTACTGAGCTCCAAAATCTAAATTAAATATTTAAGATGGTCTGGAATCTTTGATCATAAAAGGTATTAAACATAGATTTTTGTTATTTTTAAGACATTTCAACTTTTTTGTTTATTATTTTTATCCTACCTTAATTAACCTGTTAAAGACAAATTATAATAGTTATACATCAGCATAACTAATATAATATGACTTTGATATCTCTTCTTTGTTGCTCCTTGTCTATTATTTATTAAAGGAGAGTAGGGGGAAGAAGGGTTGTTGGGTGGAGGGTGAAAGATAATAAGGGAAGGGAAGTCCACAAAGATAATAAGGGAAGGAAAGTCCACAATAAGTAAATCATTAGAAACCCAGTTCAGAGCAAAGGTCTGGTGCAAGGGAGACCTGCCAGTCAGAGTACTTTGGTGAATTTGGCCAGAGCTTCCTACCCAGGGCCATCTTGGAGAGAAACTCAGGGTTTGATGAAGTCTACTAGAGTTGGATATATAATAAATCCATCTGATTTCTGGATTTTGGTTTCCACCAAAGAAATAAAAACCACATTCATTCTGTGTTTTGGCAAAACCTAGAAATAACAATATATTAAGCCTTTCTTGGTTATTTGCTATTTTACCACTTTTCAAAGACTCTTTTAAAAATCAACCAACCAATCAAGCCAAAATTTCTCATCTCCTATCTTAATTTTGGCATGACTCAGGAGAACTTTAAAGCAAAGCTAAGCAAAGAGGTGGAAGGAAAAGTAGATCTCTTTATCTTGAGGTGTTCAAAGTTTAGTCTTCTTACTAATTCTTTTACCAAAGATTTAGCTTTATAGCATATATGAAAGTTTTAAATAAAACTGAGAAGAAATAAAAAAATATAGGAATTCTCTAATACATTTATGCATTTTTATTTTTAAAAAATATATTTTATTGATTTTCCACAGAGAGGAAGGGAGAGGGATAGAGAGCTAGAAACATCAATGAGAAAGGAACATCGACCAGCTGCCTCCTGCACACCCCCTACCAGAGATGTGCCCGCAATCAATGTACATGCTCTTGACCACAATCGAACCTGGGACCTTTCAGTCTGCAGACTGACGGTCTATCCACTGAGCCAAACCAGTTTCTGCCATTTATGCATTTTTAAAACACATAAACATAGCCATGGTGTGTTGGGAGTAAATAGTAGCACCATTTTTTTATTTTTTATTTTTTTATTTTTTGGCATGGTCTGAATTGAGAACAATTGCCTTAATTCTTAGGTACAGTTCTTTCTTCTCTGACTTTAACTTTCTCAAATAATATCTCTTAACTGATTGTTTCAGATCACAGACTTATTTCATGTAAATTTCATTCCAGGAAAGGCTAACAGAACTATAGTCCCAGAAAAGATAGTCATGTGAGCCACTATTACATAAAGCTACTTCTACCACAGGAAGGAAGTTTGCCGACAATTTTGTCGTCAGCATTAGATTTGTGGCAAAGCATAGTGGGAAAGTGATACTTTGAGTGAGAAAGACATTGAACGAACAAAATTGTCCTATTCCACATTCTACGGTAGTTAGGAGACTCAGGACTAGCAAAGAGAACTCTTGTTTTTAGTCCAATAATATTTTCATCTCATCATTGTTATTTTTGGATAGGGATAGGGGCTGTGTTTTTCATATAATTATTGGTTGATGTGGAGGCAGTATTTTAAAGTAACAAAGAATTGAACATAAACCAAAAAGTCCTAGATGTTTAATATCTATATGGTTGAAATTACTCCCAATCCTGTTAGGTCTTTGAAAGAGACAATGCATAACAAGTATCTAGAAGAGGGCTTCATTCATTACAGTTGCTGAATAAATTGCATTTATTATGATAATCAAGGCAAAATATATTTCCAGTTATATATCATTGCTCAGAATCAATAGATACCATCTTGCCAAAACCGGTATGGCTCAGTGGATAGAGTGTCGGCCTGCAGACTGAAGGATCACAGGTTCTGTTCCGATCAAGGGCATATGCCTTGGTTGCAGGCACATCCCTAGTAGGGGGTGTGCAGGAGGCAGCTGATCGATGATTCTCTCTCATCGATGTTTCTAACTCTCTATCCCTCTCTCTTCCTCTCTGTAAAAAATCAATAAAATATATTTTAAAAAATAGATACCATCTAAAGTTAGAGATATAAGGTACCAGTAGAAAAACATCAAATCAATAAAATTATTTTCAATTAGTTTCTGAACATACATTATACAAAAAAAACCAAATATATTTATAGCAAGATATATTTTTTAAATATATTTTTGTGTTGATTTCAGAAAGGAAGGGGGAGGGAGAGAGAGAGATGGAAACATCAATGATGAGAGAAAATGATTGATTGGCTGCTTCCTGCACACCCCACACGGGGGATCAGATTGAGCCTACAATCTGATTCAGTAATTGAACTAAGACCTCCTGGTTCAAAGGTCGATGCTTAATCACTGAGCCACTCTGGCGAGGCATATAGCAAGATACATTTTTAAATTCTTATCTTGTCAACATGTATACATGTAATAAATGTTTCCTATTAAGAGAAAAACAACTTCCAGATCATAAAGCAAAACTCAACTGTATAGTGCACATAAGGTCACATCTAAAACAGAGTAACTCAGAAAGTTTGAATATAAAATGATGTGTACAGGTATAGCAGGTAAATACGTAAAATATATACATCAAATGTCTCAATTTTTAACCAAATAAATGAATTTGGATAAAATAATCACTCTAAAAAAAACAAAGAAAAGTACTTTTAGTGGTAACATAGAAAAGAGAGAATACAAATTTGTACTATAATCACAATCCTATAAATTCTAGGTGCAGATAAAGGTAGAGGGAAACGATGGATCAGAGGGATGAGATTATGATCTTTTTATTTGTTCCACTTTCATTAATGCTGCTATAATTAACAACAATAATAACATGATTAAGTTATTAAAGTGAGCACTGATTACCGTATTTTCTGGCATATAAGACGACCCTCCAATTTTAAAGTTAAAACATAGGTTTAGGCCTATAAGACTACCCCCCCACTTCTGAGGCAACACCAGTTCTTTTTTTAATTATTAATAAATTTTTAATGAATAACCCCCGATTTTCGGTTGACTTTTTTTCATTTCAAAAGTCATCTTATATGCCGGAAAATATGGTATATATTTAGAAATGTAGAATAAAATTCCTCAGCTATATCTCTTTGCCAAAGGGAAAAATACATAATTGTTGAAGAGAGACATTGAGATACATACATATATTATCCATTTAAGTATAAAAGTCTTTTTCTTTACCACCAAAATCACTTTAGCTAGATGGTTAAATTGAAACTGTTTAGTCCATTTGAATTTGATTGTGACTCAATGCCACTGACATGCTTATAATATGCTATTATCAAGTAGTCATTTTCTCCCTCCACTTTTGCAGCAATATGAGAACTGGAGGCCCAACCAGCCAGACAGCTTCTTTTCTGCTGGCGAAGATTGTGTTGTCATCATTTGGCATGAGAACGGCGAGTGGAATGATGTTCCCTGCAATTATCATCTTACCTATACTTGCAAGAAAGGAACAGGTAATCATTACCTCATTAATAATGTCTGGTTAATCCACCTTTTCATTATCAGGTAAACTCAGGAACACTAAGCTTCCTTCTTTAAAATACGAACTGGATATGTCACATGCATCATCTCTTGTTGCTCTGGAATATTTCATTCTTGCCATGCAATCGAAACGTTTGTTTTCTGTAGTGTTGACACCATAGATTTCAGGTGCTGAAGATAACAATGTAGTATTTACACAGAAAAATTACCTCCACGTATCTTTAAAGACACAAACACACAAAAATCAGCCAACACAAGGGTTGAAGACCTGTTTATTTTGGTGAAGAAAGGATTACAAAAATTGGTTGTCAACATTTCAAAAGTGGAAGATGTCATAAAATATTATAGATTTATTTTATTTTTTATTTTTTTTACCTAAAGGAAAAGAACAACTGGTACCCATTTGACCCTTTCAAATTTGTCCATAGATTGAAGTATTGGAGCTGAAAAACCTCTGCTCTCCTCAGTGGGGGCTTTCCTCAGGCCTCGCGGTTTTTAAATGCCTCGTCTCTGTAGACTTTGAGTTTTTTAATCATTTCCTTAGAAGCTTGTTGTATGCTTATAAACCATGAAATAGTTGAATGTCCTCTAGATTCAATAAAGTAAAAACAGTTGTAATATAAGTCCCATCATGAGGAAAATTGCTTAGCTGACATTAAACAGATAAAGTTAAGAATGCTGATTTTTTAAAAATGTGTTGTGTTTATCACTGACCAGTATGTGTGAATTTCTAAGGCATTCTGTATAGACTTCTTCCTTAAACAAATAGGAATTCCATAAACATTTTTAACCTGTTTGCAATGGTGTCAAAGCATGAAGATTTAGTCTCTAGAGCTAGACCTCAAGTAAGAGTTCAAATTACAAATGCAAAATATAAAATCCATTTGATTTTTTTAAAATATAAAAATAAAACTACAAATGCACGCTGTGTAAATATTTTAGAAAACTTCAAAAAAGAGAAATGCTATTAGAACAAAGAGAACATTAAGATACACAAAGCTCAGATAAAACTCAACCATTATTTGTGATTACTTTGCTCTTCTCTAATCTAAAGTAGAATTTGTTGTGGATAGCCTTTCCACATGAGCCGCTTTCCTGCCTTTGTGCATTACCTCAGCACGTCTGCAATGAGACTTGTGAAAATAGCAAATCAAGTGTCTGTTTTCCCTGCTTGTAATGTAAGAAGTCTTTAATGAACTGTTTGTCTTTATCCAAATGTCATGTTTGCATTCTCAGATTTCCAAATGGCCCCTGGAGTCATGCTTTTCATTTTATGATGCTAACATTCTGATATTTGTTATGTTAATTTTTCCTGTAGCAAGGTTTCCCAACACCAGCACTACTGACATTTTGGGTCCAATAATTCTTAGTTATGAGGGGCTGTTCTGGGCATTGCAGAATGTTGGGCATCTCCTCTGCCTTCTACTCACTGAAGGTCAGTAGCATTCTCTCCACTGCACGCCCCTCTGCTCTGTGACTAAAATTGCCTCTAGAAATTGCAACCATCCTTGTGGAGGGAGAGGAAGAAAACGATTCCAGGTTAGAACTACTGTCCTATAAATTATAAAGGATTCACAAAACCAGCATCACCATTTACATGTCCCACTGGGGAAAGAGATTCATGAAATGTTGGCTCTACCTCGTTAAAGGAAAAAACAAACAAAGCAAAATGATCTTTGTATTTTATCTCCCTAGTGTCTGTTTTTTATTTATGTGAATTTAATTCTTTGTTAATTAGTACTCTGGGGAACTATGTGAATTTTATAAATGTCTATAGACTTTTATGAAAACATACTCATTTCTCCTTTCAGATAATTTAGGCATCTTAAAACATACAGACCAAAATAGTTCTAGTTTCAATTAAATACTCATAAAGGAGGATTATAATATATACACAAGGCATATTTACACTTGAAAGAACACTTCAGTGAATATTATCCACAGTTCTCTGGAGATCCTGTAGCATCTTCCAGTCCCATCTATTTACTCCCCAATTCCAACCATCTATGATGACTTAGTTCCTTGTTTTTCTTTTTGGTATTACCACATATGTTTGTATGGGTAAACAACACATTTTTTAACTTGGCAAATTTTTAAAATTTATATAAGTGAAATCATACTGTATGTATTTTGTGCCTTGCTTTTTTTGGTTCAGTATTATGTTTGTGATCTTTATCCATGTTGATGCATGTAGCTCTATTTCTTCATTTTTGCTGCTGTATGGTATTTCATTGTATGACTATATAACATTGTATTTATCATTTCTCCTGTCAGTGGACATTTGGCCTATAGTAAGTATTTTTTGCTATTGTAAGCAATGTTTCTGTGGGCATTTTTGAACTTGTTCCTGGTAGACTTTTGTGAGCTTTCATAGGGTATTTTTCCAGGAGTGAAGTGCTGAGTCATAGGATATATGTACCATAAAATTTACTAGAAAACAGCCAAATTATTTTCCAAAGTGGTTGTACCAGTTTGCAATCCCACCAGCAAAGTGTGAAGGTCCTGTTATTCCACATCTTCCAACATTTGGTATTATTGGACTTTGAAATTTTTGCCAGTCTGGTGGGTATAAAATGTTATTTCTTGTGATTTTAAATTGTATTTTCTTGGATACTTTCCCTTTAATATTATTTCATACACTCATAGGTCATTCACTGATTTTCTTCTGTAAAATTTCTGTTCATGTCTTTAACTTATTTTTTAAAATCAGTTGCTTCTCTTTTATAAATTGATTTGTAGGAGTTCTTTTTATATTTTGATTATGAATATTTTGACAATTAGATATTTTAAAAATACCTTCTCCCAATTTGTAGCTTGTGTTTACTCTTACCCATTTTTGATGAACAGAATTCTTCAATTAATTACATTTTCATTTTTGGTTTAAACCATTTTTCATCTCAAGAAATCTTTACTACCCTAAACTTACAAAGATATTCTATGTTGTTTTCTAAATGTTTTATAGTTTTTTGTTTTATGTTTATATATTTAAGCCATCTAGAATTGATTTTCCTTGTATTCTCCGAGGTAAGAAAACAAGTAAACTTTTTCCATAAAAATACCTAATTGTCCAAATGCAAAAGCTACTTTTCCTTACTGCTTTGCCATGTTGCTTCTGTCAAATATCATGCTTATATGTGTGGATCTACTAGTTTATCTGCTGTCCTTGCCAGTACTGTACTCACTGAACTATTTTACCTTTCATATAAGAATTCATATATAGCCGAGACCGGTTTGGCTCAATGGATAGAGCGTCGGCTTGGGGACTGAAGGGTCCCGGGTTCGATTCCGGTCAAGGGCATGTACCTTGGTTGCGGGCATATCCCCAGTAGGGGGTGTGCAAGAGGCAGCTGATCGATGACTCTCTCTCATCGATGTTTCTAAATCTCTATCTCTCTCCCTTCCTCTCTGTACAAAATCAATAAAATATATTTAAAAAAAAAAAAAGTTAAAAAAAAAAAAAGAATTCATATATAACTAGTTTTTAAAGAAATCTCTACATTGCTTTCCCCATAATTATAAAGATAACTTCTAATTTGTCAGCATAGCACCAAATTAAGTATAATGAACTATCTAGTTCATAACTTTTCACCTTCGATGTCAGTTTGGTCTCATTCTATCTGATAGTATCTGAACCTTGGTATAGGATTTTCATAGTATAAAAAAGAAGTGCAGGTATCCAGATTGAGTTATCATGGAACCACATACACTGTGTAGTTTATTAATTGAAAATGATATGTTATTATAGAAATCTCTGCTTTAGGAATTTGTGAAGATAAAATACATATACAAATATTTCTAATTTCTTAGTTATATAGAGTATGATTTTATAATCCATTTTTAGGTTATGTCTATATGAGTACAGGTCTTATGTGAGTGAAAAGAGATGCTTGGATTGTGTTTCATTAAAGACAACTTTCTCTGCTAATTACAAATGTTAATTTTTAAAGCATGTCATTTAGAACAAGTACACCAATGTTGAATAAAACTTTAAGTTCAATTTTAGTTGAATCAATTTGCCCAGCCTCTTGAATTTTAGATTGTAAGGTTTCTTTTACTTTTGTTGCTTTTTTATTATTTACTATTGCTAAGTTTGTTGATATTTAGAATTTTTATTATAAATTATAAATTTTCCAAAATTTAATCTTCATTACCCTTCTCAATAATTTAAAGTTTAAGATAATTATAAAACTGACCAGGAATATTAAGTCCTGATTTTCCCTTTTTTTTTCCTCATAGGGAAGTCAAAAAAGGGTAAATAGAACCAAAGATATTTTATTGATACTTAAGAGTCTATATTTGGCCATGTTTTACCCATATTTTGAAAATATGATGTTATTTTAGATTTTAAGTATTTTTAGGGAAGTGACAGTAATAGTTAATTGTCACAAATTCATCATTTCTCCAAGTGAAGATGGGGAGTAAATAAAAACTTTGGGATAGTGATGAAGACAATACCACCTGGCCACATGAAACTGGTACTTTTTAATTTGGAATTTTTCCAGAAAAGTGACCATGTAGCCGCATGGTTCTTTAACAAAATGCAATCCAAGATGACATAATCTGGGATTCAAAAGGGGCCCAGAGCCTCAATATTTACTTTTTTTTCTTGAATATTTTCAATTTGTGAATTCTAAGTGGTAGCTTTTTATGATGGTGCCAGATTGGTTTTTTAAGGAGTGAAAGAGATAAAAAGAGACTCATACTGATGGAAATATTTAGTTTCTTTGGAAATAACTTGATTTACTTTTCTTTAGTTGCTTGCGGCCAGCCCCCTGTTGTAGAAAATGCCAAGACCTTTGGAAAGATGAAACCTCGCTATGAGATCAACTCCCTGATTAGATACCACTGCAAAGATGGTTTCATTCAACGCCACCTTCCAACTATTCGTTGCCTAGGGAATGGAAGATGGGCTATGCCTAAAATTACCTGCATGAACCGTAAGTGGTACTTTACAAGGAATGGACAACCGTGCAATAACAGCTTCTAGACACCTTCATTTTACAGCTGCGGTTCTGGTAGTTTAGGGTATGGAGCAAGTAATGTTGTTGTGTTTTCTTTCCTTCTTTCTTTTTCCTTCCATGTAGCATCTGCATACCAAAGGACTTATTCTAAGAAATACTTAAAAAATTCCTCCTCATCAAAGGACAATTCAATAAATACATCAAAACATGATCACCGTTGGAGCCGGAGGTGGCAGGAGTCCAGGCGCTGATCCCTATAATGGCGAACATGTGTTTTCATCATTTCAGCCAAAGTCCTAACTTCCTGTGCCTTTCCTATCACCTCGAGAAGTATTATCCGTTGGTCTGGATTGACGGACCACCGTCCAGTCAGTTGGGGTTGCTGCGCTCACAAAACATCTTCAATGAAAGCATTGGCATTCAAAAAGAAAGCACATGATGTGAAAGAGAACAAGGGCAGAGAGAAACCATTTGCAGCCTATCCGAGGTCTTCAGTCTTCTGTTTGCCTCCAGTGCAGACCGTTCTATAATGTATACCAGCCTACTGTACTATTTAAAAAGCTCCATTTCAGCACCAATGGCAATGTAAATAAGATGATTTAATGTTGATTTTAATCCTGTATATAAAATAAGAAGTCACACTGAGTTCTGGCATATTTAATGATGATTATGGAGCCTCCAAGGTCTTTAATCATTGGTTTGGCTGCTTTGGGTAGTTTGTTTAGGCTGGAAATGGTTTCACATGCCCTTTGCCTGTCAGCAAGACTGAGGACGGCTTTTCCTGGACAACTAACAAACACAAAGTCTTGTAGGCCACACTACACCATCTCAGCCTTAGCTGCAGTTGGCTTCACGTGCTGCTGAAGCCTGGCTAACGGGACCTGATGGGATGAGGGATTGCAATGTGGAACTCTTTTTTGCTGCATTCCTTTTCCTTCACTTACAAGAAAGGCCTGAATGGAGGACTTTTCTCTGATCAGGAGCATTTTTTAGGGGTCGAAGTGCTAATTATTAACTCAACCAGGTCTACTATTTAGTGACTTTCATAACACTAACTTGCAAGGTTCCAGATCAACACATTTCAAACGGATATAGACCCAGGGCTCTGGAGGGTGGGGAATTGTTAAAACAACGCACGTTCAAAGAAAGAAATTTTGTATATATAACCATTTTAATCTTTTATAAAGTTTTGAATGTTCATGTATGAATGCTGCAGCTGTGAAGCATACATAAATAAATGAAGTAAGCCATACTGATTTAATTTATTGGATGTTATTTTCTCCTAAACCTGAAAATTGACATAGTGTGCTAGTTATTTTTCAGTGTTAGCCTTTGTGCTTCTCTCACACAGTTTGGAACCATATAATCTTAGGTACTTTGTCCCTGATTCAATAATGTGATGGATAGAATGCATCAAGTGTTTATTATGAAAAGAGTGGAAAAGTGTATAGCTTTCAGCAAATAGTGTTTGCCAATTCTAAGCAAGGAGCATATATATATATATATATATATATATATATATATATATATATATATATATGTAGCTAGGTATATGTGTTAAAATGTCTTCCTATCACTTCCCACCCGTTTTCTCCCCTTTATTTGAATAAACTGACTGCCGAAGATGACTTTGAACTATATTATCCACTTAATTTAATGCTTAAATAAAAATCTGTAAGGAAAAGAAGGCATTTAGGAGTCTTTCCCTAATTTCAGTTAGAACGATCTTGAGAAAAGTAGACAACTTATGAAATGCAAATAGCAAAGGAATAGCCCCGACATTGATTCTTTTCAAGAAACCTTCTTTGGCTGAGAAGGAACCACAGTGGCTGCAATCATTCACAGGGTCTTTGAGCAAGTTCCCGGGTTGTTGCATTAACTAGTCCACCGCCAAGTGTTCCAGAGCCACAGTGTGTGGACCTACTAGGTTTTACTTTTCCCTCTTTTATTACAATGCACATAATACTTCCTGTATTTATATTATACCATGTATAGTGTAAAATGTGAATGATTGTGTGTGTGTTTTTTTGTGAATGAAATTCTAAAAACTTTGTAACTTTTTATACCTGCTTTTGTTTCACCAAAGAAACCTAAAGTCCTTCTTTTACTATACTGTGACTGGTCTGGTTATTTACAACTTTAAGTCCTGATGTGCACCAACATTTTTACATTTCTGGTCCCATCATATGAAAAGCTGCTCACATGAAGTGATTGTGTGGCTAACAGAGAGATGGTTATATATGTCCCTGACATCATGATTCCAATACTGTTTATAGCTACACACCCATGCTTTAATTTCAAGTATGAAAGAAATGTGCAGTAGAAGAAGTGATAGCTTAGATTTATTAAATGCTTCCCATGAAGCAGGTTGAGTGTTTTTTGTGCATGTTCTCCCAAGAAGCCTGTGGGAGAGGAGCCGTTACTCTGATTGACGAGGGTTCCAGTGCAGAGAACTTAAGTCATTTTCCAAAGTTACATAATCACTTTGAAGTGGATGCAGGTAATCTTTAGAGCCTGAATAACATTCTCAAGAAAACTATGAAATATACTGTTCCAAATCACACATTTACAAGGTAAATTTGACTGGTTAGAAGATAATATCTAAATAATGATCAGAAGATGTCAAGTTCCTATCCATCCATTCCTTCATTTTTCATTCATTTACTATTCATTATGTATTTACTATGTGTCAGGCACTGTATTAGGCCCTGGAGACTTGTCAGGGAATGATTCGGTCTCTGCCTACATAAATTTTTATACTGGGTACAACCTGTGGGATTTATTTTACAGCCAATTCTATCCACATCTTTATTGATAACTTGGAAGAACAAGTCTATTATATGCTTCGCAGTGGTACAGAAGATATAAAGAAGAAAAGTGAGTTGAAACTTATATCAAGGATTCCTTCTGGGAACGTCAAAGGTATATGGAGAGTAAGGCAGGAATAGATTCAGAAAATAAGAGATTCCTTTCCTTGCTGAGCTTTTCCTTTTCATGTGCAATCTGTCATATATTTTACCCAGAACTTGAAACACAAATTACCCAAAAGAATATATAAGAATTTGCATGTTAATAATTTCATCAAGCAAATATTTATTGCTCTAGGTGCACATGATACAGACTGTGAGATGTTCCATCACCCAAAATACTGGACAGAGTGAGAAGTTTAAGGAGACCTGCACTACTCAATATCAGCTAGAGATGGCTTTCTATTCATGTCTAAAAGCAAGGTTACCTGGGGGGAAGGGGGGAGAGAATGTGCCCCTACATAGGTGGCTATTTAAAAAGAGGTGACCTTTCAGGGCAACTGAAATGGAAAAAAGGTAAGAGAGATTCTATAGGGAAGGCACATCATTTTAATGGGATAACAAGTGAACCTTTGTCAATCTTAACTGAATTTTCAATACTGTGCAGGAAGTAAAAACTGAATTAGCCTTGAACTAAAAGCCCAGAAGTCATAAAACGTAAAATAAAGTTATGGACAGAAAAATAATGTAATAGGTCACACAGAATTGCAAAGTTGATTTTGGGCATCACCTGTGCTTGAATACCTGCCAAGAAAAGAATCCACAGGAGAAAATGTAATCTTAGATGAAGGCAAGGAAATGTTATCACAGATAGCTAAAGACTCAATGATACCTTTAACATCTTTTAATGTGTTTCTCTTTATCTCTCCTAATATTACAGATGCATTGGAGTAAAAGGTCCACAGTGCTGCTTTTTTGCTGATATGTGTGCCTCCTCTTTTTATTGTGCCGCAGTTGCCATTTGCTAAACAAACCAGCATTCACCCAATAAGTCTCTTCTAAAACAAGCCTAAATTGAAAGTTTATCAAATTCCTTGAATGAGTCATTCAAGATGGCATAATCTTTTCCCATTATTACTCATTTCTGTGTGCTTGGATCCCAGCTGGACAAGAGAGAGAGCAAATGCCAAACAAGAACAAAAATGGTTTTTGTTGAGGTGTTTACAGAATAAGCAAATGATGGCTTTAAATTGGAATTTAACTCAGAGTTCCATATAATTTTCCCTGTTGAAGATTAAAAGTGCTGCCTTAAGGCAGTAATTCTTAAGTGATTTTTTTAAAGTGTTTGCTCCAAAATAAAATTTCCATTATTTTTAAGTTGTCAACCAAAAATGTTTTCATCATAAAGTTAGATAATTATAAAGGATGTCATTTTGGAGGCACATTTTAAACATTGTCATTCTAAAATAAATATGTAATATCACTTATAAATACACTCAGTAGAATCTAAATACCATAATGATTTGAATACTACTATCATCCATTAAAAATTGCTTCCCTTTATGAGCCCGTGTACCCCTTGGTTTGGAGACTACTGCTTTAAGTCTTTAAAGTACGCTCAGATTTTTAGTGTCTTATCCATCTGTATTTATAAGCATGTGTCCTATCAGTTGGTGGTGATTGCTTTCCAAACTTAGAATGGGCCTCTGGTTTTACATGTCAGAAAAGCTTTTCTACAGGGAAAACTGAATACAACAGCATGATTGAAATGTATTGTTTCTTACTGGATAGTCCTGAAACAAAGTTTGAAATGCAAGAATCAAGACACATTTAAGAATTGAGAAATAGAAGTAAAAAAAACATATTGTAAATTCCCAGCAACTGTCAGCCAGGAAAAAGGACTTCCAATTCAGTGGGGAGCCCTGAGAGAGGTGTAGGTGGGATCATCCTTGGGAGAGAATTGATCTCTAAATAACGCCAGTTCCTAAATCCAATCACCCTCTCCCACTAGCCAGATGGTACTCACTGTTCATTCAGTAACACATACTGAGTTCTTACCATCTGCCAGGCACTCTGCTAGATATTGAGGATCCTGTTACAAACAAGATAGGCCAAGTTCCTGTCCTCAATGGCTCTTACAGTCTAATGGGAAAGATTAGCAATGGCACTAAAGCAGGAAGAGAGCTGATTTCTCAAAATGTTTCTGCTAAAGCCTTCATTATTAGCTATCTCTTTGTTCTGCTCTCCATCTTTACCTGACCCCTTCATAATCATGGCCTTAAACACTTTTCTACCTTATGGTAACTTCCATATCTCTTTCTTTTGTGCGGTGGATATATATTCAGTTGTTGGATTTCACAGGTACATTGAACTCTGTATGTTCCAAATTGAATGATTATCTAAACCTCTTCCTAAGCATCTACACATTTTAAAAAATCTAGGAGTCTAAAAGTCACTCTGGACTTCTAATTTAAAACCAATATTCAATCAGCCATTAAATTCTATTAATTATACTTCCAAGATTCTCACAGCCATCATATTCTCTCTATTCCACTCTCTTTAATATCTGGTATATTATTAACATAGTTTAATATTTCTAGATGCATCTAGAGATATAACCTTTTGAACTAATATGCAAAAGAGCCTGCCATTCTCTATGTCAGAACTTATCAGAACCTATTGCCTACATAAAATTTAATTCCGTATGCATAGCAAAATGCTTTTGGGGCAGGGTAAGATCACCTATTCTAGGCATGTGCACTTAAGAAGAATGGATAAATTGATTTAGTAATCTTTAATAAATCAGCCATTAAATTTAAGTTTTAGTTTTTCCTCTTAGAATTAGATCAGTTTGACTTCCTGTTCAGTTTCTGATCAAATGTCAGGCTCCTCTTATACAAAGCAGAAATGGAAGGCCAGACATGCTATTGAGTGGGACATTTGCCTCTCCAGGTACTCTCTCCACCCTTCTCCTGCCTGTGCCTGTGGGCTGACTGTGTAGATTGCTCTTATTGGGTTCAGCCACGGGGGAGCAAACAAGGCAGGAGATCAGAGGAAGAGACGAGTGATGGCGGCGTGGGTCCCCTTGGCTCCCTTGCAGTCCTGTGGGATTGCCACATGCTGCTTCTATCCCTACAGAAACATCATTAGCTCCTAGCAGGCCCCCATCTCCACAGAGAGCTCTCCGCCTACTGGTTCCACCATGGCTGTCTCACATTGACCCTTCAGATCTGGGGTAGTAAGACTCTCCACTGTTACTGGCCCAGGGGTGCTGCACTATAAATTGTGATTTCCCCAAGCTGCCCACCTTTGTTAACAGTCCCTTCATTATACTCTCTTCAATTTATCCAATTTGATTGTGTCACCTGTTTCCTGCTGGATTCCAAGTTGACAAAGCATTTATTGATGCATTTTATAGGGACATTTTGAGATAAACCCAGTTCATACCAATCATAGGAAGGGCAAGCTACATTACAGGCTGGAAGTTCCACTTTGGTTCTCTTGG